TCCAGACCCCTGGGGGAACAGCCGAAGACTGGAGCCGCATGAGAGACCACTACATATCCAGAATGATTACCTCTTACAGCTGGGCTTCAGGGACCTGTATCAGGTACAGGAGGAGGGCATGGAGCCTCATCCACTTCTATGCAGGTGATAGGACACAGCTGTCACTTCTCTAGAGTGGGGACTGTTCATAGGATTCATATATAGCCCATACACTGCTCATATAGTCATTGCATAGCCTGCTACGCTAATAGCGCAACCTGTCAGAACCTGGATGCAGCATGCATGCTTATACCTAGCGACTGACGGATTGCGCAAAATGTCTTTAAACAGGAAGGGGTGGGGCAAATTTAGATTTAGGGGTGTCCAAGTTTAGTTTACGGCAGCACAAAACCAAAATACAAAGTACATGTTGGGTTTAAGATTTGGGCTCACAAAAAGGGATTTGCATTGAAGTCTGAACATAATTGCATGTAGTGCTAGTAAGTGCGTAAAGCATCCATCTACTGCTAAAGTAAACTATCCCAGAACTTTTTTCAATCCTCAACAGAATAGGGAAAGTCTGATCTTCTGATAGGTCTTTATTGCTGCCTATGCTTCTAGTGGAAGCCACTTCTTGTCCTTAGTCTTTCTCAAACATGTAGAGATCTGCAAGCTTAACGTTCTGAATCCCCTTGCTAAAGTAGATTTTCTTCATATATTCCTATAGCTAATCCACTAAGAGGCCAGTGACACCTGCATTATATTATCATGTTGATCCCTAGTTGAATCTCTTTACATAGGAAGCCAAGAAGCCTTTCACATTTTTGCTTCTATACTTGTGTGCACTAAGCCCATCAGTCATCTTTGACAAAATACACTAGTCCTACAGAAGCAATACTGGCCATCTGCTTCCCCTTTCACAATGTATATTGCTCATATTGATTGAGGAGCTCTTCCTTGATTAAATAGTACATTAGCAAAATAACAAGTAAAATAACTAATGGAGAGCCAAATTCGTTGTGAATACAGCTTTACCAACCCCATAACGGTCATATTAATAATAGTTAAAGGGTTATTAAACCCTCACGTTTTTTTTGCATATATCTACTGCTAGCAAGCAGTAGATCTAAGCAAAAACTTAAAAAAAAAAAACCTTTTGAAACAGGTTTAAACTTACCTGTGTCTTCGCCGCAAGCTCCAGTCCGAACATCTGAAGAGTCTCTGGCACCTGCAAAGGATTTTGTGGCGGGCGTATGCGCAGTTCAGGTGTTCGGCCTGGGAGACGAGGGGAGACACAAGGTAAGTCTATGGAGCAGCGTGCACCCGCACAGACACCGTGGGACATCATTGGTACCACACAAACGTCTGTGCACCTGCACAGACACCGTGGTACCACACAAACGCTTGCTACACAAGCTGAGGTGGTGTGTACGTGGATAGAGAACTGGCTACGGGAACGGGCGGAAAAATAAGCCTTTAATGTCACTTTAAATCTATAATAACCAGAGACAGTGATGGGGCAAGATCTTCTTGCACCCAAAGCATAGAAGCCAAAATGCGCAACCCTCTCGCCCTAGCTAAGATGGATCGTTCTTGCAGGTCTGTAAATATATTAGCCATGCTTTAACATTTTAAATCCTAGGGCCTTCATAGGTAAACAGAGCTTCGTATTGGCTATCTTGATGACCCCTAAGCCACTGTTTGGCCAGGATGCCCAATCAGCAGCTGTCTTGAACGAGGATGACTGTTACTGGCTTGGATGGCCCGTATTGGTTGTCTGAACTGTGGTGGCTATGTTTTTAATTTTAACTATTTGTGGAAATGGGTAAAGGGTACTAAATGTACCACTACACTCATTGCCCAATAAAGAGGGCTTCCAGATTCCATCATAAGTCCTCCCCACTTTAATATTACCTCAATCTCCTTTTTGGGGGCACATGGAGTTAAGGTAGAGGGCTTGTCCCTCAACATTGGGACAAAGATACTTTGCAAGGGTGGGGAGGCTTTGATGCCCCCCTTCCCTTGCAAGGTACCATCCCAGCGTTGAAAGGCAAACAACCTGGTTTGGTACAGAAGGAGTGGGGGCGGGGGGGCTGCATACTCACTGCTCTCCCTCTCCTGGCCATCCAGGCTGCATGGCTGGATAAGGGTCTGGTTGCAATAATAGGGAAACCCATGCATTTTGTTTTTAGTGCATTTTTACAGCAAATGCAATGCACCCGAACTTCGCAGATGATCCTTTTAGCTTTTCAGAGCCAAAACTGCGAATGTTCCCAAAAACAAACAGCAATCCTATTGGCTATCAGCACTCCTGAACAATATTATTATTATTATTATTATTCTTTCGGATTTATATAGCACCAACAGTTTGCAGAACTAAGAGCAAACAGAGTAGGAGAGGACATATTCCAAGGGATGAACATTATTTGTAAATCCTGTTATGATTTGGCAGTACACATGGTCATTTGATATCATGTACAAATGGGGTCACTAGGGTATAAGTATGTAGGGCTCAAGCTGAAAGTGCCTGTGTCTCTCCATCCACTGCTGTGATTGTTTTTTAGCATGTTGTGTTTTTCAGTTTTTCAGGCCCATACATCACAGCCTTATTTACCACTTTATTTTATTAATGACATATTGTCATGTATAGTAGCTATTTCAAGAAAGCAGATTATATTTTTAGTTCACTGACCTTTTAATGCTGATCTGTGCATTGGATTAGTGTCAGCTGATTATATTTACTTTAGTAGGAGGTTCTGTCCGTCTGGTAGTTGGTCTGCAAAATCAATGTTAGCTATGACTGAATAATCTGTGCTCTTACAGATTCCTTACACTACAAGTTTATCATTACCCCTTCACACTTTCTTCATGTGCAGTATTATATCAACCTCAAGGAGACTTTAAAGTGCACTTGTCAGCACTGAGCAGATATTTTGCTGCAAAACAGTGTGGATGTGTTTTTTTTCCCCCGTATTATATACCGTATTTTGTTTCATGTACATCTGGGAAAATGTAGGATACATTCTGTACCGTTTGCATAACCATGCCACCAATGCAACCTTGAGGGGCTTTTAGAGAATTGGGTCAAATAGTAAAGTCAAGTGACGCATCTCAAATTGCTTCATCTTTACAGATCTTACTCTAATCCCACAATAACAGGTGTACCTGTCTCATCTAAACCTCCTTTAGCCTAACCTCCTAATGCTGCAACCAGCTAATAGGTTAAGGTGAGTTTTAACTTGATACAATTAATCTTTAAAGCAGAAATCCAACCAAAACTTTTCCCACAACTTTTGGCACCCCAAATCAGCAACAGGAGCAGGTCCCCACTTTCCACAGAAATATTTACACTGTGTAGACTTTACCTGAACCAGTTAATTTTACAGCACTGATTAAGGTGGCCCTTATGTAAGCCTGAAATGTTTTGGCCTTGGACTGAATGTTCTATGGTCAAACAAAACTGATTCTGGGCACACACCACTTTGTTACTGCTTCTGTGTTTTATCATTTCTGGTCATTACTAAGACCCAAGCCCCCACAATGGACTAAATAAAAATAAATACCATCTTTTATTAAAAATAAAATACACAAATGGAGTGTTACAATCAAAATCTACTTCAGAAAAAAACTGCATATACAATTGTTTGCAATTGCATTGCATTGCATGGAACAACAATGCGATACTGCATGTTCCGGTGCGGGCAATTGCACTGTGGGCGGGAGGCACATTTGGGGTCAAAGCATATGCTGAAAGCCTCGCAACTGACAGCTGAACTGTCATTAAACAACGACAACTGGGTGAAGCTGGCTGTGAAATCACAGCCAGCTCCACCCAGTTGTTATTCATTGGCCGGGACCTTCTAGAAGACTCTAGCAGGTGTCAGCCAATAGTAAACAGTTGGGCGTAGCTAGCTGTCACTGCTACCTCTGCCCAATTGTTTTTCTTTTGCCGGCATCTAGTGTTTTTTTTATAGTGTAAAAACTATTTTTATCATCTCGCCCTCCTTGTGCGTACATTATAATTATTTATGTATGAGATATATTCCCCCACCCTTTCTTTTTCTCTCTTGCTCTCTACTTTCTCTAACTTCGTCTCACTGACGTATCCTGACAGTGTCAGCGCGAAGCCATTTTTCATGCCGTATTCCAAGGCTCTGCAATTTGATTTCTTATGTCCAATTTATCATTCACATTCCTTTGGCTGGCATATTAGTCAATACTTTGAATCCTTTAACTGCAATTGCAGTGGCGCTCGTGGTGGGGGCGTTTAAAAAAAATATTATTATTAATTTTCTTTTTTTTGTTTACTTTGAACTATTTTTTTATTATTTTTTAAATTTCCTAAATGTAAAAACTATTTTTTAAACTTTTTTTTTATTATTTATTTCACTGATTTTCTACTCTGCTCGGTACCACGGAGGTACCAAGCAGAATAGCCGAGCCAAATGCTGCTCTGCGACATTCAGCTATACACTCACTGCTGTTCAGCCTCCATGTGAATAGGGGCGAACGGCAGCGAGTGAGCTGCCGGAGCTTCTGCTCAGTCAATCCAGATGTTGGATCGGCTGAGTCGAAGTCCTTCTGTAGAGCATGTTCGGCTAACCGAAGTGCAGCCGAAGCCAGCCGATGTACGGCTGATTTCAGCAGATGTATGGCTGAAATCAGCTGTACAAGCCTGAAGTGAATAGCCGAACAGCGTGGGTTATGCATTCGGCTGTCTTCGGCTGCTTTGTGAATAACCCTCTAAATCGAAATTTGTTGTCAAAGTTAACACTGCACTGAACTCAATGGAATAAAGCACTCCTTTAAGTAAATCAGTCTCAAGGTTGGAGAGAATGGACAAAGAATATTTCAGGTTAGCAAAGATGATTATTATTGCTTAAAATCCTTTTTTTTCTAATATTGTGTCTTTTTAAAACAGACAGGGCAGATCATATTTGAAGTTATATGCATGTCTCAGCGAGTGCTATAAATGACACTGACATAATACATTAGTCATGCATAACTTGTTTTTTTTTCAGGTCTGGCAGCGTCAAAAACCACTGGCATGAGATTTTCTCCTTTGTGGAAAGTCTTACAGAAAAATTTACAAGGTATGTATTAAAGAATGCAAGCATCCTTGGTCTAATGTCTGTATTTGCAGTTAATATTTCACAACATTGTGATTTACATTTTATACAATGGTTGTTTCTAACTTTTCTCATGGCTACCTGAGATAAAATTAGGGATGAGAAGATATTCACAAATTGGCTCTGAGTACAATCTACTATACTGAAATCAGTTATCTGGTATCAATGTGATTTGCAGTATGGTAAAGTTAAAAAGCCCCTGCAAAGTAAAATATGGCTTTAACAGCAGAAGGTCACTACTCCTTTCTCAATAAAAAAAAAAAAATCACAATCTAATTAGTCTCAATATGGAACACGTGCAGTAATAATAATAATAATATTTTTTATTTTTTTTCCTAAAGGCAAAAAGGTTTGCAAGAGAATGTTCTCTTAGCTTAGTAAATGTGGTGAAAATTCAGTTGTTTTTGCAAGCACGTGATTGGATGATAGACATCAATAGAGCTTCACCTCATTTACTAAGCTTAGGGAAAATCCATTTTCAAAGTGAAAATCCCCTTTAGAAAATGATTATTAGTAAAGTAAATTAGTAAAGTATTATTTGCCTTTAGTAAATCAACTCCATAGTGTTGCTGGTAACAGACATATATTGTGCTGCTATGTATTGTAGAACCTAAGAACACATATGTTTTGAACTAATTTTTTTCCTTTCTGTGCTTTGGAATAGTCCCATGCTGAGGATGTCATTCATTGTCTTCTCATCTCGAGCGACAACAATTATGAAATTAACAGAGAAAAGGTAAAAAAATTCCAAGAAAATCTTTGCAGCCTGTTATGCCAGTTTTGATAAAACCATTTCACTGCATCTTAGCTGAACAGTTAGGGGTGTATTTATAAGCAATTCACAGAACCC